GTTCCACACACTCTGTACATATTACACGAATATCTTTTGAAACACACAAAGAGATTGTTCATTCTAAAGAAACACGGTGGCGTCGTATTTAAAAATATGGCAAATTGGAATTCAGAAAGGAACCGCAACTCTTGCCTTTCAGCTGGTTTACCTTGTAGACCAATAAATCTTTCACAGCTTGTTAATGCAGTGCATACATATTTATACAATACACACTATTGTTTTTTAATATTGCACATCGAAACTTGTGCATTAGTTCGAGCTTCGGCTGCATGAAAATATGCGCAAATCAACATGTTTTATAACAGTTAAATAATTGTAGAAGTGTATCGAATAATACGAGTGGTGGACATACACCATTCCGAGACTGCGGTGTTAATTAATGTGTATTTGTTATAATTAGAACTCGATTAAAAAAGCACTTCAACATTTTTAGATAAACCGTAGCAGTATTGTAAAGGAATGTGATTCAAACGGGTGTCGGATATTAAACAGTTAAATATTAATAATTGGAAGGGAATATTATGAAACTCGCCAAAAATCTGAATATATTTTTGACGTAGGGGCATCATGATTCATATAGACTACGTGCATTATTTATTCCCAGATAGACGCAGAATATGATTTCGGGTCTGCTCTCTCTCTCGGGTCTGATTCATAAGATCAACAGCCTTTTACATGCGTTTTCAATTTTCATTATTCGTTAAAGTAGATTGTTTCAATTGAGTTACATTGAAACATTGAACATTACAATGCTGTTATCGTTATATAATATATTGCTAGCTAGCTAGTACCTAGATGCGATTTATGGACTCATGCCGATAGTAAATAGATAACAGTTGAACAAAAACCAAAATTAAATCACTTATATCTTGCGAACTTAGATAAGCTTACCTGACTGACAATAATAGGAAATTTATCTGCATCTGGTCTATATTGAAGCAGTCGATCCAAACATCTAGTAACACTAACCCTGTTGCATGCAAACACTAATACCGGCAACTTTCCTTCTTGAGAGCCTTGAGTCTCTTTATCGACCTGGACATGATTTTGTTTTTGTACTGTTGGTTCCAGAACCGGTGTTGATGATTTTTGCTTCTTCAGCAAGAACTGTTTCGTGTCTTGTATCATTTCGTTATTGAGCCTGAACTGTTCCTGTATGCCATCTTCCAGTTTGGAAAGTTGATTATAAAGACGTTTTTTGCTTTCGCCAAAACCATCTGAGAAAAACAGGTACACCGCTGTTGTCCACACCAGTATAATAAATATGAACACCAGAGCTACTTGCTTTAACCGCATGTTAGCAGGGATAGCGAATAAGTGCGTAAAAGCCCTAAAACAGGGGCTCAGTAAGGGGAAAAAATCAACAATGCCAACTGTTCAAAACTGGTACTTACTGTCGAGACCATGTTAAACTGCGGAGAACACCTTTACATAGTTCTGTCTTTTGTGCCCCAAAAAGTCCCACACACACTTTGCACTCGTAGGCCTCCCCTAAGCACTGACAAGTGGTGTTGACAAGACCACAACAGCAGGCAAAAGTGAAACTGTCAGAAAATATCGAATATCGTCTGATTTCTGTCAGTTTTCGGAGCATTTCCGAAGTTTGCCGAACAATAGGAGCCATTGGTGTGCATATAATGTCATGCAAGTTTCCGTAAAATAACCGGTAATTACCAACAGACAAATGAGCTTGATTTAAGTATCTTGAAGCATTCTTTATTGCCATTCCCTGAGAGAACAATTAGCTAAATACAACGATGATAATAGTGGTTAATTGTAAAAACTCTGACTAGAAGGACGCCAATGACTACCGGTCAATGTCATTAAAACATAACCTCTGAAATAGAAATCAAAACACTGTAAACAGTAGAGCGTCTCTACACAGACTACATACTATATTAAGTAATATTACCAGTTATTACCTCCCAATGGAGCAATTTAAGGATGCTCACTACTTTCACATACCATCCCAAGGCAATATCTATACGATGACTGAACTGCGGTTGGCAAATGGGAAAAGTTTGGTACTAGCCGCCTCTTTAAAGCGCGATATTTTCTACTTTGAATATTCCGAAGCCTCCCTGAGCTTGGACCCAGCCACAAAAGAGATTTCCTTCACTTATATTCCAAGTATGTAATAATTAAATTATGCTTTCATCTGCAGAGAACTAATTGAGCCCCATTTTAGGTGGGGCCGAAATAATCTCAATAGATGCGTTCAATAAATCGTCTATTACTAACGAAGCAGTCATAGGTATTACAATAATTAAGGTACGGGTCATTTTTGTGAAACCCGGTAACTGAATATTGCACATTCCTAATTCGGCGGTGTTTTAGAATAGTAATGATTCTGATACTTTGGAAACCTTTTTAAACATTTACTCCCAATTAGAAGAACATGAGGATTTCAACATTGAAAATATTGCCCAAAATTGCCTTACAGTAGAACTCAACTTTATTCCTTACCAACTTTTGCACACCGAACTAATAACATGGAAGGGTGATAAAATTGCCAAAAAAGAAGTGAGTTGAATGAGCACCAAATCGTTTATTAGTCTTCGAACGAGTATTTCAAACCTCTTCTTTGCAGATCGTTTTTATTCTAACAGGAAGCGATAACCTCGTTCACATTTATCATGAAAACACATCGGAACATAGTTATAAAGATATAGATAACAGGGACTTATTTCCGGAATTCGGCAAAACTCCCAGTCCAGTTATATGGATTGATATTTGCCACTTAAATAATTATGAAGAGTAAGTTTGTCTTAATGCAACTGGCTGATAAGCTTCAAATGTGCGTATACTTTCAGACGTGTAACAGCATTTGGATGCGAATGCGGATACGTGAAACTTCTAAAAGTTAACACCAAAACCAATAAAGTCATCTATAATTTCTCAACAAGATTTTCCAATTACATCTCAAAGGTGCAGTTGTATTTCGAAAATGAAGTCAAACATCCGGACCATTTTGGGAAAATTATCTCCAAATTTGCGACGGAAAAAAAGGACGCTCGTCAAGTGTTGAACTTAATTGTAGTTAACTCGTTATTGCCTTCTGTGTTATTTAGGTGAGTCCTTTGGGAGCATAATTTCTTTTGCTTGACTCAACTTTTTAAGGGATGTTCTAAAATATGGCCTAAGTGATTATCTCACATTAGCGCGTCATAATAATAGCACAGTTTTTACAAGTTGTATAGTGGCAGATATTGACTTTGATGGTCAAAAGGAAATTTTACTTGGAACGGGTTCAGAGGTGCAACATTTCGGTATAAGTATTTTGTTGAAATCTGCACAGAAATTTTAGGAAATTATTTTATATAAGAGAGATATCAAAGAGAACAAATGGTATTTGGAGGAAATTAAGAACCTTGTCGCTCCTATTCTCTCCATGACATATTTGGATATATCTGGGGATGGTGTTAAAGAGTTGATTGTATCGTCCATGAAAGGAATTCATGTCTTACAGGTACTTTAAAATTCACATGTAAAACCAAGATAAGGTTGTTATCAGAGTCTCTTTCTAGCACGATCCGAAATTCGTTCAAAAGAAGCTAACCGAACGAGTAGATGCTCTTGTAATTCCAAAAATAGTTTAAAATGGCTTTTAGGGAGGATCGAATTATTATTATTATTATTATTGAATAAAAGAAGATATTCCATTAGCCTAGCGTCTATTCATTCCAATCTTTTGGTCCTAACAGCGGTCGGTAACATTTGGTTGAATCCGTGCAGTATACGAAAGGCTACTTAGATTTTTGTTTTCATCTATGAATGCATAAGTGGACTTTGTATGTTTTATGCAAAGCTATTGGTTCGTTATTCCAATAATTTCCTAGAAATCGGTTGTCTTTGCTATGTTGAGTAGCTACAAATGATACAAAATAATTTAGGTAAAATTAAGGGTAAAACATTTTTTCTCTAAATCGGGAACGCAGTTTTTTTGCGTTTAAAGGCGTACACATTCGATTATGTGCATGCAAAGTCATGTTTTCTACCATAAAACTTGTTTTTCAGTGGACGAAATAGGTATGTTTTAATTCCACTATTCAAAAAATAGCAAACGCCTTTTCATATGTCGCACAAATTACATTCTGCTAATCAATTTATATTTCGTTTAAATCTGTGTTGGTGGCTTAGTTAATAAAACTTTAAAAACGTAACTATTTTAATTCGACTTAGTTTTAAATATGTTCGTTTTGTTTCTTATATTATACCCAGATAAAATTGTTAATTAATCAAGCGTTTTTTATTTTTCATTAATTTTTTACATGATGTGATTTAAATCAGTTTCCTACAATTAGGGGCTAAACAAATTTTTAACGGGGCCTATGAGGTTCAAGCCGGTATATGTGCCTAAAATCACAATAAATCCAGTATTAGTATGATAGGAGGCTTCGGAAAAATAGTTACGCAGCCCAAAACATAGAGACACAATGCCTAAAGCATAGGCGCTAATTCCAAGGAACGTGTGACACTTTCTCAAGTATATTGGCCTAAGGTTACAAATCCTCAGAACAAGTTTTACAAAAAATAGCAAGATTCCTCCCAAGAAGGACAGCATGGTTAGTAGGTATGAAACAAAACCTGAAAACCAAAAATATGATTCGAATTTTGTGCTTCCAAAGATAAATCGCTGGTTCTACTTACCGACTATTCCGTGTGTGGTAGTAAAATGACTCCGGTTATTAAGTGCTTTATCCTGAATTTTGATTGAAACTCCCGCAAGCACGGCAGTGGTAGCCAACAGCATCAAAACCCCATGAAGAAATCCTCTCGCTATTTTGCCGTAGCCCAAAAAGAAACCATTTCCAGGATTTTGCATTGCAACTGCTTCAGCCATTAGTAAGGCAAACTAAAAAATGTGGTTTTTCTAGAATGCTTCTCCGTTTAAAAATTGATCAGGATTCATGAATTTTGGGTCACTTTAATACATTAACATTAATTCAACAAATCGCGATTAGAAGAAATTTTTTAAGTAAGAAATAAAAGCTGTCTCATAAGGGAAAAGTCGTAAAGGACAAGTGAGGACAATTGTCGGTTTTATTGACTATCAAGGCAATGATTTTGATAAATTTTGTCTAGGACTTACCCCAATTGTGCTGAGAAAAACATGCCAAGTGTGCATTGATCCCCAGTCTCTATTGTAGGCCATCAGCCATACCGTCGACGCCACAAAAATCCCCATCAGAATATGAAAACACCCCTGCGTGATCAAAAAAAGTCGTTGATTTTTGGGAATTATCTCGTTGTCGCTCATGTTGATACCCTTCCGCTATGTAAGCTTGCTTCAAAATTAGCTCATTAATGAAAGGTGTAGGGTCTACAATTAATCGATTAATCTCTTAGGCTACTTTTATTTTATAACAAAGATAAGAACATCTATTTATGATCCGCTTTTGATGGGATTAGTTCTTCACCCGTGTTCCTTATTGGTTTGATAATTTATTGTTATAACAAGCATTAGGTTGATATAATTTTATGTTATAGTCTTGAAAATGCCATGCGGTCTATTCAACGACTACTAATATATATTAGTAGTCATTGCTATTATTTGTGCGCAACATTAAACCATATAATGTTAGGAATGTCTTGTATAATGACAAAGTTAAGCAATAGCATCAATCATCTCAGTTTCATGTACATCACTGAGATAATTATTGGCTGACGCATCATAAATCTATGTATTGATTATCAAAATTGCGATAAAACTAAATATGTGCGACATTTGATAAAAAAGGAGAATGTTTCGTTCGTCATACAATTAGGAAAACACCTCCCATGGATAAGAGGGTTGCACATTAGTTCTATGTTATATAAAATGTTTTTTTTTAGAAATTAGATCCAAATAATACGACGCTTTTAACTCAAACCGTATGTTTTTATTTCCGCCTTATCAGGACCCAGCAATCAACAACACATAGGCTTTGTATTAAAAAAACTTGTATTAACATAGAGATACGTAAACAGTTAAAGCTAATTACAAGAGTGGATCCTAAAATGTATTTTAAACAAAAATTAAAATAGATGTACGTCGCAGATCAATAGTAAATTTTTAGCAATAACTTCCATCAAGGAACTTTTCATCGAAATAACGAGAAAAACATGAAGAGCATTTTCAATAGGTAACAAACAAACAAAGCTAAAATTGCCAATAGAAACAAGCAAATCAGAAAATATAAATAATTATACATGGAATATCTAAAAGATAGTTTCAAAAGGTACTACCAATGAAAACAGTTAAATTGTTATCATAAATCCTTTCAAATTAAATCAATCAAAAAGGCGAGAGCGCCATCAACAACACGAAAATAGCGTAACCAGAATTAAGAAATCTTAAATATATAAAGCCACTAAAACAATTTTAAACGATTAATTTTTATAAATTTGGCGTTTTATATTTTTAAACTATCTCTTTCTTTTATATTTTGGAGATAAAAATGTTCAAGTCATTACAACAGAAATACGTTCAAATGATACCACTGATAATGATTTTTTAGATTACCGTAGTGTGAAGTGTTTTAGAGAAACACTTCACTATTTGTCATATCTATATGATATCAAAATAGCAAATTATTCTTTGTAAACTGTTTGCTGGCTCCTTTATCCAAATAAATGTTCAGGCGGTGGTTTAACTTTCCGCATTAAAATTATGAGAATTTGTACATTTTTCAAATATGCAGTTTTGGTGATAATAACATTTTTTTTATTAAAAGATACATTCTAACAGACTTACGGGCATTTGCTTAGAATGCCAGAGATTTGATTTGAAAATAGAGCGATCTAAATGCCGCTAACAGGCTCCATATTATTATGTATCCAGCAATGAGAAAACTGGCATAATAGGCACTTTTTGGGAGAAAATGTACGTAGTGATGGGACGGATACATGACCATAATGGAAACCACGCCCAAGGTAAAAGCGCTTATTCCCAACACGTTATGGATCAGCTTGGCCAGCACTGGTTTGATGTACTTTGCGAAATTTTGCGTGTTCTGAGCCACAATTCCAAAACACACCGCACAAAACACCAATAACCAGGAAGTCAAACCTAAATGAATTTTTGCGTTAAATACACACACACTAATTTAAAGATCTGTTGACTTACCTAAAATAGCATGGTTGCTTTGAAAGTGTTTCGAACCATTTTTAATATTATCGTTGATTTTCACCGCTATTCCTATTGTTACCCCAAGGCAGCTTATTGTCAGTAGAACCCCATGGATCACATATATTCTCACTCTGCTTATATACAGGGTAGGCAAATTATCTTGGGAAAAGGCGATTATGGCAACAGCCATTAGAGGGATATACTACAATTAACACAGTGAAGATTGATTATTACCTGAAGGTGGTGCTAACATCGATCTCCTTACCGAAATGGTGGAAAAAACCATATGCCATAATATAGGTCGATTTAAGTCGGTATTCACGAAAAACACCCATAGCATAACAGCTGTAAGAATCGCAAGTAGCTGGTAATACAACAAATTGCCTATCCATAAAAGTCTTTGTATAGTGGAAACTACTGGTATGGAAAACGATGTGGCATGACTAGTTGAAGAACTAGCAATTATTGTATGCGAAGATGATAGGGTTTTTGCTTCAGATCGGACTGAAGCCATTTTTCGTCAGTGTAACTAGCGTGATATGTGAAGTTACTACTTAGGTACTTGCTTAGAAATAACTTAATCAGTGTAAGATGTTCGAGCGATACGATACCATTGGATAATTGACAAATTGGAGAGGCTATTGTGTTTAAGATGTATAGTGCGGTAGTTTTTCTCAAATATAATGTTGTAAAGATGTATAAAGTATACGGGTTGTCCAGTTAGTCTTTGAATCTTCACCTAGAAGTTGAAGCTTTCATTGAAAGAGTTCTTCCATATCTTCAAAAATACATGTTTTCAAGCGGAACGTTTTCTTTTAGTCGCCCTGTACATTGAAATCTAACAAGCAAATGGGAAGGTGTGTATTCTTGATCTGGAAAGAATTTTAAAATTTGGATCAGGAATCCGGAAGCTTTTTATTGTTCTTTTTGTTGTTAAAATGGCGAATGATAAGCCGCGTTTCTTGTAACTTTTTAATTAATTTAAACGTAAAATTCTTGTCTCGTTTATCAAAAAGGTTTTAACCGACTAAACCAGCATTGCTCGAAACAGTTTTCATTATAATCGCTTTTGGGCCAAATAAAAATCCACTGCAACAATTACCTAAGTAACTTTAAGTACCTTTCCACTAATATTTATATCAGGAATATGCCTCTTATATGATAGATTAGATTCCATTTTGTTACGAAAATAATATATTTGAATGCTCACTGCTGAAAAACTGGCTGGAAGAAGGTTACCACTTTTACACTTTCGTATCGCGAGGCACCGTGTATGAACTGAAAAATATTTGGAACACACTAAGTTCTCAATAAATGCATAGGAAGCCGGTTTTTTTTTAATTAAAAACAGAGTTGAAAAGCACATTTAAATTGTAATATATGGGAAGTAATAACAATGTACCAGACAGTTTAAGCAGATCTTCTTTCCAATGGCTCCATTCCATAACCATTGCGTTTAAGAATGGCAGTTTATTTACGAAAACACTCCTTTAACTTGTCCGAACAAAGACTTGATGGCCGCCAAGCCACTCCAGATGGTTACAAATGCTAAACCATACTTAAGGCCGATGAAAGCGCTGTCTGAAAGATATCGCTCGATATGGCCCAACATTTCCCACAATGAAGCCACTCCGATTGAAAAGCCGGCCAATCCCAAGAAATTGTGCACCAACTTGGCAAACACTGGCCTGATAAATCTCGAAAACGTCCTGGTGTTGGCTGCGACCACTCCGCATATAATTGAAGCGAACACCAATATCCAAGAAACTAAGCCTGGATTGATCATTTTAGTTTTAGTCAGAAAAGTTTTCAATTCCTTCACTTACCAAGAATGGCATGTTTGCTGACGAAATGGTCTCTTCCGTGTTTAGTTTTGGAGTCTGTTTCAACAGCAATTCCAATTGTAACGAATATGCAACTAAGGAGCAAAAGACCGCCGTGAATCCAATATCGCTTCGTTCTTGGGATGTACAGGGTGATCATGTTGTCTTCCGAGAATAAGATAATTGCTGCGGCCATCAATGGGATGTACTGTTGAATTTATAAGAAATTATTAGAAATATGTTTTTCAATTTGCACCCTATTTGATTCAGTAGATGCTAAATGTTGGAAATGAACGGATAGTCTGAGCGAGCAAAGCTTGGAGACTCAAAAATGTACCAATCTTCAGAAAGGAAAAACAATATCTAGGCAAAACAAACGTAAAATTTTGAATATGATTGAAATTATTCATATTGATCAAAAATTGGCGAAAATTGTCAACAACTTACTGCTGCAGTGGACAACACCAAATGAAGAGTGAAAGTGCTTCCAAAGGAATTGGCCTGATCGAAGAAAATCCATAGGAACAGTATGCTGACTATGGCCAATATTTGGTAGTAAAACATGTTGCAAATCCATAAAATCCTTTGGAGAAGCGAGACTTCTATTTTATCGGTTGACGACATTGTAGCTGATTTAAGTGCGGTTTCAAATGCAAATGAGCGACACAAACCAATTTTTCGACCAGAAACTGCTATCGCAGAACTAAAACCTTTAATGGATTTCCATTGGCTTTTAACCAGAAACGGTGATAAAGCGTCAAAAAATCATTGTCTATCGAATGTGATTGGTGGTACACTTACTCCATCCTTTGCCATAATCTTAATTCTAAATCAATCGAAATGGATTCATTGATTTGCAATATATGTGTTGCATCGCTTTTTATTTGAATACTGATATTGAAAGACGTTATTCTAATGTGTCCTTTAAGGTTTTTTGATATGTTAATTAATGTCCATATTTAAGCTTTAATTGCTGCCGCAGTATGGCTGCTTCTTTAATTGGTTGAACAGTATCTCCATTAACAATCTTCCAAAGTCACCAAACGCCCCAAAATGATCCGATCACACCTACATTTTGTACCATACATACAATACAAATACTATCTGTATTTCAGCATAAATAAAAAGTATTTTCCTTCCTAAAATTCTCAATATCCATCATTAGTAAAATTAATCTCTTCTTCGGTTGTCATGCTCATCTTCCGGATGTTGAAACTGTTAACATAATCTTTGGTACATTCGTTGGCTCTGGTAAGCCTGGACGCATTAGCCAGTAGAGCGCATTTACCCTAAATTTCCTCTACATAAAGAACATTCTTCATTGTTTCATATCTCCTTGCGGCTGTAGTCACGTAAGCAGATTATCCACTCGATTTTAGATTTTAGAGAATACTCGATAGCCTCCGTGTAGTCACGTAGAGTTTCTAATCAAATAACCAATTCAATTGTCGGAATTGAACAAAGATGTAGTAATTATAGATTAATTATGACTGGCATTTGCAAATAAAAAAACTTGTTGAGATTTTTGATTAAGCAAGTTCATATACTCAGGATGCAAGTTCACTTACACAATCTTCCAAAATATTTACTTTTCAGTTTTTTACTTTTAGTTAATTGCTTGCTTCAACAATTTTCTGCGTTTTTACATAATTACAATTAATAACTGGCTCAGCTTCGGCTTTTTTTTGGTTTTCAGGTACAATAAGTTTAAGTCAATAATTTTAAAATAGCCGACCATTATTTTAGGTGAAGTGCTTTTCTAAAGTGATTCTCTGTGCATTGTATTGATTCAGCAAAAATGACGATTTTTTAATTTTAGAGATGATGCTTGCTAATTATAGGACTGATTGGTAAACCGGTTTATCAACTTAATCGAAAACTATGTATCAAATATAGCAGAAAACTAACGATTTACTCAATTTTCTCAGGTTTTCTCTATTTGTTTCTACAAATTAAATTCGGTGGCTTCTGTTACTGCTATGTGCGTAAGAACCGTTAAAACCGCATTCTCGAGAATAGTTGATCAACTATTCTATGTTAGTTTGCCACAAACAAAAACAAAAATCAACAGTTATTTGTGATATAAAAAAATTAGTTTGTAAAAGTCAGTTTGAACCAGTTGTACACTAATTTACCACAAAACTTAATTAACTTAAAATTAAAACACTTAATTTAGGCATTAACAGAAAAAAAATAGAACAAATGTGATATTAAATGTTTGACTTATCTTAAAATTATACTACTTATAATGTAGGTACTGTCACATAGTGATATATAAATAAACCACCCTGTATATTAAAGTTAAAATTCTATCCGGAGATTCTATAATTTAGTTTCATATACGAAACTATTCAGAAAAGGCGCATTAAAATACAAGGTGATTCAAAAAAAGTTCAAGAGCTTTTCAAAACATATTTTTTGCTTTTGGAAATGGTTTCACTTAATTAATAGTTTCAACAATCACTATATAAATTTACTTATTACTTGGTTCTGCCCGGAATTATTGATTTAATTTTCTCTAGCCACACTTAGTTTAGAAAATGTTTTTGTTAGCTATCACGAGAAGCCAACGAATACAATAGGTACTAAATATGGAATTGTTGCTTTGAACTATTCAAGACCTTTCGAAATGAATGTTTACTAAAACATCCTTCTACTTTGGACGAAATATCTACCGTACATGAAACTTATTTAATAAGATTAATCAATTTAGTAGACAAAATTCCACAGTAAATTCCGCATTATCCTTGATGTTAAATAAATTTGCATAAAAACGTGAAAGACAATCCTTAATTTAACTAAGTCCATTAGTCTGTTTAAAAGAAAACGCTCTTGATTTGTCCATACAAAGACTTAAGTGCTGCTAACCCGCTCCAAATGGCAACAAAGACCAAAGCAACGTAAATTCCATCATATACAGTTTGCGAGCTATTTCTCTCAAAAAACGTTAGCATTTCAAATAACGATCCAATTCCAATGGCAAATGCGGCCAATCCTAAAAAGTTGTGGACTAATTTTATCACCACTGGCTTAATGTACGATGAAAACGTTCTGGTATTTGCTGCCATCAGTCCAATCAGCACCGATAAGAACATTAGAATCCAGGAAACCAGACCTTAAAAATTGAAAGCGATGAAAAATGGGCCTTGGGTGAGGAAACGGCCTACCTAAAATGGCATGGTTGCTTTGAAAATGAGTCCTCCCAAGTCGTCTCTTCGCATCAGTTTCAATAGAAATCCCAGCAGTAACAGCTAAGCAACTGATGAAAAGCAAAACCCCATGTATGGTGTATCGTTTGGTTCTTGAAATGTGAATTGTTGTAATGTTGTCTTCGGAAAATAATATAATTGCAGCAGCCATTAAAGGAACATACTGAAACAGATGACAAATTTATAACTAGACTAATAGTTTTTTTTATCTTCAGACAATATTAATCAATGCGGACATTTTTATTGCTCGTTTTTTCCATTTATCATCATCATCGTACTTTTAATCAATTATATAATACGAACATAGGTTTGAATATTTGATATACAAATGTCTGTCTACGGATTAATTCTGCTAAAATAAATTAGATATTAAAACCCCATAATATATATATTAAGCTTTCAAAATGGATACATGTTTTAATTAGTTCAAACCTGGGCGCCACAGATTCAACGGAAAAATTTCTTTCTTCATCGATTTTTACTTCGATCTGGCGGTTTTGACCAAAATATTCTAAATATCGGACAATTGCGCTAGGTAGAATTAACACAACAGAAAATGACAATATAATAAGTAAATTAATTTTTTATAGATAAAATAAATAATCTGAATTAAATGAAGCTAAACATTACATGTAGCTATAAGTATCTTTAAGATAAGCCTAAACCATTTGCAAGGAAATTAATTTATCGAAATATACAAAGTTGTGAGACTGCATTTTCGATCAATTTAAATTTACATCAAAGTGGTTAACAAATAGTTAGTATTGCATTACTCTAAATAGTCCAGAGTGAACTTTCAAACAACCTTTGAAGATGTCCGACTCGCATTTCCAAAATGTTGAGATGAAACAAACTGGTCGCGGCATTTACAAGAACTTACTACATACTTTCAAATGATTAACGCAGGTGCAAACCCTCAAAACGAGATCTATAAACTGTGGGTGCAGAAACCTTTCCTACTTACTATTTGAACTTCATCTATAATAAATGTTGAAGTAAATAATAGAAAATAATCAAATATACTCATAAAATTTCATAAAAACAGTTAGTTTGCGAAGTACCAAATATGTGTTGATTTGTTGTTGACTAAATATTTTTCAAAATTGTTCTGATAATGATTTTGATCCAGAAAAATGTATCATGACTTTAGGTTCAACCTTAAAAATTTATGAGCGCGACCAATTGTTAAAGTTACTCATCTTTGTTTAAAAAAACTCTACATAAAAGTGTCTCTAGTTCTTACCGCAGCAGTTGTTAGAACCAAATGCCACAATCTGGTCGCATCCAATGCATAAGTTTCAAAAAATATCCAAAACATGACCATAGTAACAATGGCCAAAATTTGGTAGTAAAAGGTGTTTAAAAGTAGCAGGCATCTTTGAATCCATGAAATCTCATCGGCTTGACCGTAGAGCACCGTCGTTGAAGAGCCATCGATTCTTTTCTCGCTCATTTCTTACAGATGCACTGTCGCACTAAAACTTCGAGTAAATAAATTGGAAAATTTACCCCCGCTGGCTTATAAGCGAATATGCAAAAACGGAAGATCATATTTTTTATTGTAAGTGAAGCAATTGGTCCGGGGATTTAAAAAAATAATGCTCTGTTTAGATTGGTGAGATTAGATGTAATGAATGATTTAAAAACCCTTTCATTGGCAGATTAAGATAGCACTTTAAAATATTCATCTAGACGAGGAGGATTAGAGATCAGTGGCCTATAATGTATGTTACAACGTTTATTTATTTCACTGCACGATACGCAACAAATAATTTCGTTCTCACGCAGGAATCATGTATTCATTATCCCAATATGTTTTAAACATTTTCCCATTTCGTTCATGATCAGTGTTTGCAAGAAACAAGGAAAAGGTTTCAGGAAGAAAATAGTCGCTTCAGGAATTTCACAAAAAATTTATTGGTAAAAAATAGTCACTCCCTGAGAAAAAAACGCAAACTAAATGATCGATAACAAGAAATCAGACTCTGAGTACCCAATGGCAGTGATTGGTAGTTCAGTTAATCAGATTATCTTCACATGAATTTTCGATTCCGCCTCACTTCCAACGAATTGTTATAAAATGTGCTTGCGTCCCCATAAACGGGTTCTCTTGCACCATGCCTCTGACATGAACAATTAAATGAACAACCACCACTTTGGTTCGGCATATGAAGTGGGCTGTTGGGAGATTGACTCAAAGTCGGGCTGTATCCCCGCTGCGGGCCCATAACAGAACGATTTGCTGCACATGTCGGACTTGGTCCTGGACGACTCATTGGGCTCACATTTACGTGAACTACAGGTTGCATGTATGTAGAATAGACTGAAAAAAAAGCATTCAGTTGTTGCCTAGAGGGGGAAATGTGGGTACTTACAATAAAATGTAATGAGGAATATAACAACCATTGCTATGGCCATCATCATGGCATATTTGTAGTTCTGCATAAAGTGAATGATGGGCGATCTGGATACGCCACACTGTTGGGCTCCTTTGAAATCCCCCGTTACTTTCACCAGCACCTGCAAACAATTTCTGTTATTTGCATAAAATCACCTCATGTGTGTATAAATGCAGGGAATTTCACGTTACCCGGATATTTTGCTTGGTACCAACGGAAACCACGTTGATTCCCATCGCGTCTTGCATTTCAGCCAAACGCCAGTGATAATCAATCAACTGGACTTTGTATTTTTTGAAATGTATGTCTTTGGATTTAAGCGCCGATACATACAGGATGGTACTATCGGCTGGTAAAACCTACAGAAACAATAGCAGCGGTTATATATTTACTCAATCGGTTATCTGTCTCACGTTTAGTTCATTCAGTACTTCAGGCAAGCCCTTAATCAGCAATTCTCCAGTGTTGCTCGTTTCTTTCAAATATAACACCGGCTCTACGTACACCCCCGGCAAGAATTTTATTATCTGCTTCTCCGAGGTTATTTCGCCGTCTTCGGTTTCCGCCCACAGCGTTAGATTTGTACTCAATAGGGATATGTCCGAGTTGTTCAAGTTTGTGTTGATCAATTTACACGCGTACTGTCCTGAAACAAACATTATTTCAAGTAAGATAGTGCAAGTTTAGACGTTTGTCAACCTCGGGCACCCCCAGGAGGAGTTATTATTAATTATTTCAAGTTTTTAAGTTTCATTTATTAAGTCATTTTTTATCCAACAAAAATAGGATGGTGATTTCATCCTTGACTTTTTTGATCAGCTGCACGTATGTACGTAAAAAACATTAAAAGGGATTTTCGAAAGTGTATTAAAAAACACAATACATCACGTCGTCAATCATCGACCTAATCTTAACTAATTATGTGTCGACAAACGCATCTTAAAACCCCATTGGAATTTGGAACATTTTCAAAGTCATCAGTGAACAATTATTTTTAGGTCGTACCTGTTTCGGGCACCCAGCTATTTGAAATGTTATACATATCGTGTACGCTGATGTCTAGAGATTCATTAGAGAATTTCATAAAGCAATTGAACCCTTGAGGTCGCACTAGCTTCCGAACATCCGTTCTACATCTCCAGCCCTGAATCTGCATTTAAAAGAATCTCGTGATGTTTCCTAAAGTAAAAAATCTGAATAGACCTACCAGGTTGTTAATTTTCTGTCCTACGCTTTTTTCACTTTGCAACACCAAAACGAATCTGGTCACCGAATGTTCTTCTCCATTAGTAAAAACAAAGTTGGGTGGCAGTAGAAATTCTATAGCATGTACCGGGTAAATGGGCAAATGAATCGGAGCCGACATTAAAAGAGAATGAGTTAGAGTCACAGTTCCAACTTTATTGCCCACAAATCCAATATCCAGGGCGGGATTTATCTCAACTAGACTTGAATCACTGCTTTTCCAGGCTCCCGGAGTATTGTATTCGGATACAACTGGTGACCACAGGCAAACTGTATCGCCCATAGTTAAGTGATCCTAATTAGTTCCCGCAGAAATATTAGTTTTAAGCATTGGATTGGTATTTCTAACAACTTACTAAGACAGGTTTCACCGATTGCTCTACGTGAATTTTTACGTAATCGGATGTCTTTTGAATGCCGTCAGCCCAAACTTTTAACATCGTATGCCCTTCTTTTTTAGTGCTCACCCAAAGCGTCCCATTTTCAGGAAACGATATAATTTTTATTAAGTCGCATCTGCAACCAAAACATTTTCAGTGACTTAAATTTTCCATAAGCCATTCCATTTTACCTGCTGGTTCTGACTTTCAAATCCGTCGGCCCCGCATGAAAGACATTCCCTATGTTATCATGGTAGGAAGCAACCAATAGAAAATCGGTTCCCAAAGGAACTATAGCAATGGGATTGTTAAAGCTTATACGCCAATGAGCCTGAATATTGAGGCTCATGTACTGAATAGGCTTCACCTAGAATTTTGTATTGTGAAATTATTTCGAAGCTCTTCGGTCTATGCGTTCACTTGCCTCAACCACTATGTTCAGTCGTTGTTTTAAGCCATTTGCGTCTGTGGAAATAATTATAAGCAAGGCATGCCCCAGAATGCCAAAAGACTGCAATAGTCCAGTAGATGAAAGGGTGACAATGCGGTCAGCGGAACTGTAAACTGCCTTGTCTGCTAATAGTTCGGTAGATGGAATTTGCTCACCAGGCAAACTGCAACGTTTATTACTTAAGCAAACCAATTCTTTATTGGGAATTTTTAATACTTACGTATAAATAACTTCATTGACCAAATCCATGTTAGTTTCTAATTGAACATGGGAGAATGGGGCCATTAATAGCGAACTTCCAGGAACATGGCTGGGTTTTGTTAGAACGAATTGATCGACAATTTCGATATCGACATAAGCCGAGTACATCAGGGTGTGAACATTTGGTTTATTGGCAACGATTCCGGGAATTGTTACGTTTACAATTACACGAGTTGTTCCCGCTTGCAACCCTGTCAGTTTCAAAACAATTCGATCTGGTCGCCCAATATTAATTCCTGCAAAACATTTAATGCATTAACAACTTTTCTGGCACTCCAAACAATTTCAAAGTCTCACCTAACGGATGATAAACGCCGGTTAAATCTGCGAGCAGTTTATCATCAACTAACCATCTGAACTGAATTGGAGGATCAATGACTGTTCCCAATACAACAGGCGAAACGTCGGGCAATCCAAAACACCAAAAGGGAACTGTGGCTCCTACTCGGAATCTTGTTAATGGGGCTCCGATTTTCACACCTGTTAGTGCTATTACTGTCACTTCTACAAAGTCCTGAAAGTTTTTGAAAGGTGGATAAAGGCGAACTTAAGATTCTTGTCAACAAACATCCCACCTCTGTATACACCATCGATTGTCCAGTAGTAGGATGTACCCCTATAGCTTGCGCAGTAATTCGCGTTTTTCCCATTGCCAGGCCAGTGATTATGCCTTTATCTGATACCTCTATAATTGGGAGGAGAATTACTTTGGTTTCTGGATTTTGACAATTTATTTAGAGCTTGATTAAAGTTTAAAACAACCCGCAAAATACATTTTTTTAAACAGAAAAGACAAATCTTGCATATCAGTAGGTGGATTTAGGAGCTTTGAACTTTTATTTTTTATTATTTATTAACTTAAAGCAGTGGAAGATATTGAGAATCTGAAAATATTGCGATGGATTTTTCCAAGTTTACAAGGTCTTCAGAAAAAAACTCCTGAGTTGACTACGAAGCTTTCGAAAACTGTAATTCCCTCTTCTATCAGGCTAAGAGTCCTGAAGATAAAAAATGAATTTTACGAAATCTCCGTAATCAACTCATTTTTTTTCTGAAGACCACCACACATCGATTCGTCCCAATATTTTCCACTTATCAACGTTTCCCAAGATTTAGGCCAAGAATTTCTTTTCTTGCGGTCCTTTATTCGGTCCCATATTTATAAAACTCATAATATCTTCAAAATCGCACGTTAACACCAAAACCCATTAGCATATCAAATTAAATACTGTTCTGTGTTTTCCAGTGTCACTTACTTGCTGTTTTATTTTCTAAAACAGTAAATATAATTTCAGTATCGGGCTGTGGGCCTCCTTTTACAACCAATTGTATCGAAGCTCCGACCAACACTGTTCCATTCCGAGGGTGTAACTTTAGCGGTTGAAAAACCTGCAGATTCATAGGAGCGCTGGTTACATCCTCATCATTACTTGCAGCGGTAAATACAATTTTCGTAGTCCCTAAGTCGACACCTGAAAGATATTTTTTAGTCAGTTTAGTAATGTGAATACACGGAAATGAACAATCATCTTTACTACAGTTTAAAAGTGGTGGCACATATATATATTTTTTTTAAGTTTACTGGTGAACCGAAGGAAATCGTCGCAGAATCATAGTAAAAAATAAACGCACCCGAAATTTACAGAGTGAAGTTACAGGATGCTTAACGATAAAATGCATTTTATTCGCACCTGCAAAGGATTAAAGAAAAATCAAGTTGTCAATCAATCACATTAGCTTCATTTGAGTTTTTCGGCTAAAGCATTGGTTCGATTTCAATGCCTACAATTAGGATTCTAGTCTAGGCCAAATTTTAGGCCTATGTGCTAAATTTCAACACAAATCTTGCTAGGCAGTTGGCTTCTGCCTGCTTAGCGCATTAAAGTAAATATTAAATACTCCCTTCTACCAACGACGATTCGCTACACTTCGGTGTTTTTCAATTTACTTATATTACACTTACCTGTAATAATATAGCGAATTTCCCCAACACCCCACGGATGTTTGGGATCTTGTTCGGCCCGCTGAATATTTGCAATATTATCCTCGAATTCTGGCCTCAAATCAACCATGTTCAATTCTGGAATATCCATCAAATTGTCATTTTCATCATACAGTCTCACGTTGCAGGGGATGCACTTGGTGATTTCCACTTTGTCTGGCATTTCGACCCGAATAATGCCTACCGACACCACAGTTACTCGCAACGAGGCTGGTTTAGACATTAGACACAAATCCAAAAGTTGTATTGTGACTTCGCCGGATTTAAGTGGAGCTATTTCAAGCTGCTTGTCGTTTTCCATGTAAGTAACGTCCACAATATCGTCGGCGCTTAATGCAATTTCGAAAAATCCCGACCCTTGAAGAACATTGACAATCTTCTTATTCCCTGGATGGTTGAAAAGAGTCAGAGAAGACTCGCCTAGAGCAGTGTCTTCTACCAAGTACAAAGCCAAAGTTGCTTTTATTTCGATTTCGTCGATTTTATCTTCGGGGCCTAAGAAGGCAGGAAACTCTGGCTTGATCGAATGCTTACCCAATATGGCAGAATTGTAATTCATCACGGTAACGTTAATTTCAATCGGACCGATATCAATATGCGGCATGAATGATTGGTAACTTTTATCGGCTACGGCCACCGTGCCTAAGGAGATGTTTTTTGGAAAAACTCCGTCTTTATTGACTAGAATGCCCGCCTCAAAGGGAGAAACTCTCCAGTGCAAGTTGAGACTGGAGAAGTTCAAAAATCTGTTTCCGCAATCATCCCAAACCACAACATCGATATCTATAACGCCGGTACTTTGCACCACAACGTTCCCGGAACTGAGATCCATTGGGCAGTTGGAAGTATCGGCAATTTGTAACTCCGGTTGGAGTGTTATTCTTCTCGGTTTGCCACACACCACTCTTGTTGTAACGCTGCTTGTTTGCCCTTGGCAGTTGGACGCAGTCGGATTGTTAGAGATCATTAGCTTAATGTCGGTTTCTCCTAATTTTCGGCATAGCACCTGAACTACCGTGAAGTCTTCTCCTTGGATCGAATGGAGTGATGTAACATCTTGCCCTTGCGCTACGCTGTTATTTGCACTCACCACTAGTTTTTGGTGATCACCGGCCCTGCCTAACATAGGGCGCGGCCCCCCGGTAAACACTAGGTTAATTGTGGAACCAACTGCTAGTACAATGTCCTTTTTTGGCTGCAACAACTGGAGTGGTCTAAATGCGCTAACAGTAACTGCATCCTCCAACGCCTTGCCATCTTGGAAGTAAGTTACGGTGACTTTAGTTGTACCAACATTTAAGCCCACCATCGCGATATTACCGCATGAAATCCCGACTGGAGGCAACAGGGACGTTTTGTTTTGCTTGAATTTCACATCAGACTGTTTCACTTGGAATGGGAGTTCTTGGCATCTAGTGAATGGAACTAAAGTAGTTGAACGGTCCGATCTTGCGTCTTCTGCATAGAGAGCGATATGCAAATAAACCGGCGATCCTACCTCAGCTTCCATAACAAACTCCACTATTTCCAACTTGGATGGTGGCAGAATAATAAACTTTGCCGATTGGCGATTGTCGTGGTTGCTCATCATCACTGCGGACACTTCAAAGAAGCCATTGGAATGTGTTCGCACATGGCCTGATTGACTAACCACGCCTATAGAGTTGTCGCTGCTGGACCAGAACAATCGCCCATCGCCTCCTTTGGCAATGAGATCAATGTCGTAGGTAGGCCTAGTAACTGGATCCCACGGTAAAATAATCTCTGAAGGTTCTATTGTGATTGCTGGATAAATTATTAATTCGGCTTTCGCTGCTATTGGCGTTTTAAGCCGAGTTTTTCCATCCGCTGTTGTTGTTAATGTAGCCTGTACTGTGGCAATGCCTTGCTTCATGCCGTAACCGGTTAGCCAACTGCCGTTTATAGTTTGCGAAGACGTATAAAACTCTGGAGTGACTTCTAAGAACATTTGTACTGATTCACCCAGGAATAGCTTATGGTTGGAACTATCATATACTTCTGCTGTGAGATCGTGATGTTGCCCAACTAGAATAGCCCAATTCTTATGCGGCATGACATTCAATTGTATATAATCTGGTTCGACCACATGCAGCGTGGCAGCCGGTAGCTTTAACAGAGGATCATCTTTATCCACATTTCGATCTCTTAGAACGATCCTGGTTTTGCCTTGTATTAAGGCAGTAACATTTCCCGACTGCTTGTAAGATGATGCAATTGTTGAATCTTCCGCCTCTATGTAGTACTGGTTATTTGGCATCGAAATTTCTTCCATCCTTCCATTGTTAATCTGCAGAAAATCAAGCTATGTGGAAAAATGGGGATTTATTGAAAATGCCACTTACGTAAAATATTTTGAAAGGCACAATTTCCCCGGCCATCACATACACTTCACCGGGAGTCAGCAGCAAATTAGCGACAATCATCAGCTGAACTTCATGAGTTGGTACCTGCTTGTATTCACTATAAGGAAGTCTAACAGTTACCTAGTGGAATAAACGTGCGGATAATTTTTCAAATTCAAGTGAATCAATCTCTATCATACCTTCGCAGATCCGCTTTTTACACCTTCCAGCAAAATGGAATATCCTTTTTTGTTGCTGTCCTCCAATGATTGTATACCTGGCGGTACTTCATACGGTGAATCGCGATATGAAATGTACCTGATCACAGTCTCTTTATTAGGCCGCAATGGAATTATATTCCAGTCAAATTCCACTAATTCCAACGTGGAAAACTCATTGCCTGTAAATTAAAGAGTTACTTAAATATAGAATTTTTTACAAAACAGAAGGTGCACTGAAAGCAGCTTCTGAAGATGCAAGCCACGCGCGCTTGCGAAACATTAAGAAGAAATTTTTATCCTCAACGGCCGAACAGTCGGACAAATTTACCAATTTTTAAATATATTTTCCATCATATTATGTATACAGGGTTAACCGAGTTACACGAGCACGAAAGATTAGACAAAATTTAACTGAGATTATGATTTTTCTATATTGCGTTGTAAATAACTAGTGAAGTACCAAACTAACCAAAGCTATTTTTTTTCTTTTCAGTTTAAACGAGTTCGATCAAACTGGGTTGTGCAAACTGGGAAACATTGGTAAGTCGATTTGCACATTTCAACTAAAACATTTTCTCGATTCCGCGTATTCCGGATCTTGACTATAACTTTCTAATTTTAAGTCAACCCCCGGAATATTAGTGTATGCGCTGATTTGCTTTTGTTGTTCGAAGGATTTTTTTTTTAATACAGTAAAACAGCGCTTCTTTAAATTTATATGGGCATATAAATCTGGTAATTTTATACAGGGTCCAGAAAAGCACTGGAACTATATCATATACAGAAACAGTAAACCTGAAATATTTGCGGCCAAAAATAAGCTTTGATGTGTGTTTTTCGAGTTCAATTGAAAGCTAAGAAATTTAAAAAAATTATCTAAGCTCTCTAATATTTGCATGGTGGTTAATACTTATTACCGCATATAACGTGTTTAGTAGAGAATAGAGCAGATATTGTGGGTGAAAGGTCGCAACTGCTCACAAACACTAAAAAATTGACAATGATTTGCTTATATTGCAGAGCAAAAGCAGTCTAACATACAGTCTAAAATACAGATAAGTTAAGGCCTTTTAAACAAATTGTTTTTTTTTTGCAAAAAATTGTAAACAGTTTTTTTCACCAAAAACAAACTATTCAGATGTGTGTTTTTTGAGGTTGAGAAATGGATAATTGGCATTATAAACATTCTAAATTGCTTGGGTCTATAATAAGGAAGATATTGTCGGTTAAAGAACACTCCAAAACGCTTGAGAATTTGCCAAAAATGTGGAATATTTTGAAAAAAAATGAAAACGCTCAAATAAATCATGAATTTTTTATAATTCGGATCTAACATGTCTTTAATGGGCCGGTTGCATTCCTCGTTTCCTCGCTATGAAAATGATATAGGAATTGATGTATTCTGAGCGATTTGTGGTTTTTTAAAATAGGAAAATCGGTAAACGTTGGTATTTTCGGTTCAATTGATGCTTTCAACCTAAAAATCGTGGATAATCTACATTCAAATAATAGGGCAGATATCTTCGATTAAAAATTGAAAACTGAAATAGAATTTAAGGCATTTTTCAAGACTTGGACAACTTTTGCAGTGTCCAAAACCTCAAAACAGGTTTTAAGTAGAATGCCTCATGAATGAGGGATTCTGAAAGACCATCTTTAGTTAGATTTATACCTTGGTCATCAAAAGCCTTGACTTCAAAGTCTTCTGGGGCTTCTTCCATGAAAAGCTCCTTGGTAGTGGTGGTGATAGCCAAAGAATGAATAACATCGACGATCACATCGCATCTGAGGTTTTGCTTAGTGTGAACCTCTTCAGCTAGAACCACTGCTATATTCCGAGCTGCCTCTTTGGTCGCCGTACTGACCACAACCTTTGCGGAACAGTGAAACTCCTGGTTTTCCTCAATTAGCGACAGTTGAATAATGTCAGATCTCGTCGTTATCCTGAATGATTGTATGAGCATGTAGGGCACATTAAATCAGCTAGGAACTATTTACCATTTGTAGCAGCCACCTTCTGTAGCTTCCAAAACAAATTTCGATTGGAAATCGTTGAAAATGGGCAACAAAACCCTGGGAACATTTAATTTGGATGCACTGACTACGTTAAATAATACTATCAGCATAGCTGATACACGCAACCACTTCGCCTTCATAATTATTCACTGGAATTAAAAATTGTTCTCAAAATTTGCTTGATCACATTATTTTTAATCAGTTCACCGCAGAATAAATTTAGGTTAAGTTTGAAATCTGTGGTTAGAAAATGAAATAAAACCGGTAAAGTGCGCGGTAAGTATAAAAATAAAGTGGTAGGTATTGATAGGTAACGTTCAACGTTGTCGGATCTGTAACGGTTTTCTAAGGTCTAGATATTTATCTTGGAGTGAATATTTCGTTTGATCGTTTGAATACTTATTCTAAATTTTTGTCGTTTTTCATTAAAGAACACGTTATATTAAAGAGAGAATGATGTTGAATTTGAGGCATTTTGAGTGCCATTGTGCCAGTTGATCCAAGAGTGCACTCATGAAATTTTTGCCTAAAATTTAAAATTTTACATGCGTGATTTTAAAGCTCGATTGGTTATATTTGATATAAGAAGCTTTACAAATATACATATTAAAAGTATCTGAATTTAAAATAAGGTAGATATTGTCGGTTAGAGATCGTCAAGACTCAAATATAAATGAACCAAACATCGCGATTTCGTATGTTGAAACTGAAAATTTTAACGGTTTTCGAAAAGTTTGTTGCATTTTTCGCTCCCTTGTAATGAAAATGATCGGCCTCCACTGGACGAGTTTTCCACTGACAACATTTCACAGTGTATTTTTTGAGCGCATTGAATTGCTCCTGGCGTAATAAGCGTCCGAACAAGCATGCAAAAAGTGTTTGGATCCATAATAAAGTAGGTATAATCGGTTAAAGATCATGAACGCTCGAAAACCACCTAAAATTTATTTATTAATGAACCGACAATGACGGACAAATTAATTAATGTGGCACTGAAGATTCTAATGTGTTTTCTACATTTTTGATGTTGCTCTGTGCCTCAATGCGTAATAATACCTCGCGTCTTACGGCACAACACCTTGAATAACACTAAAATTTACACTAATTCAAAATCTCAACTTTCGGATTAGACATGAATAATACTGTATTGTCTGGCACTTTTGCTGTGTGGCGCTTTTGTATTGATGCCGCTCTGTGTCTCAGTGCGTAATAACACCTCGCGTCGTACGGCGCAGCACCTTGAATAACACTAAAATTTACACTAATTCTAAATCGCAACCTTCGGATTAGACATAGATAGAAAACACTATATTGTCTGACACTTTTGCGTTGATAAGTTCGCTACATTTTTCCCTTCCTTGAGATCAAAATGTTTTAGAAAATTGATATTTTTGGAAAAAATCGACCCCACTCTTTTTGGAATGCATATAAAATAAGATGCGAAAAAATAGCAATTTGAAAACATAAAATTGACAGTATTTCGAAAATGAAACACTTTTGGAGTAAACAACATTACATAAACTTGCCCTTATTTTGAATACTGAATAAGATAAAATTATTAAAAATTAGAATTTCCATTGGAAAAAAAATATTTTGGGCCGTTTTCTCAACTTTATTTTGAAACTTATATTTTTTAACAGTCCTTTCCAACAAGAAATGCGACTCAAATTAAGTAGCACATATTCCCTTAATAAAATAAATAAACTAGAAAATGAGCGACATTTTTCGTATAAAGCTCTTTTTATGCAGATTTAATTTTAAGTTTTGCAGCAATTTTGTTCGTCGTCTTATTATACATGTTCTTTGACCTGTATGTGTTTGCAATATAATTCGATCTTAGCTCGTTAAGTAACTCTACTACTAAGCTACTACTCACATCGCAAAATGATATTCCCAGAATATACCTGGAACATTCATGTGATGTACATGCATATTCCTGGGACATACAGGAGTTCCATTATGAACATTCCATGTATGTCCCAGGAATCTGTCAGAGTTAATACACTGAATGTTCATGGTATGTTCTGGGAATGTACATGTGCATGTTCTGGGAATGTACATGGTATGTTCAGTGAATATACATGTATTTTCTGGGAATGTACATGGTATATTCAGTGAATGTACATGTGTATGTTCAGTGAATGTATATGGTATGTTCAGGGAATATACATACATATATGTAACGAAAGAAAAACGATCTTTTATTTCATCTTATTAGTTTATTCACATATTTAAGTATTTACTGTTGTTGTAATTTTTCAACAAGAAGAGTTACTTACAACTAAACTAAAACTAATTAAATGGATAATAAATAAATTAAAATATTACTTATAACTTCGGACTAAAATCAAAATTTACATTTTCAGCATTTTTGCCGTTGTCGCAATGATGTGTGACTGTGAGCTAAAACACAAACCTTTATCTAAAAAACTGCAACTTATTATTTTATATTGCTTACATGTTCCCGTTCTGTGGCTTTTGCCCTTTCATTTTGTTCTCGATTCATCATTAACAATTTTTAATCCTAATTAAAGTGTCTAGCAATATGCTCTTAACAAAAATTCTGTAAGCAATTACAAATTTTAATATTGGTCGCAACAACAAAATACAGTTACTAGTTTTACATTAATAGCCTATTCTATTGTGTAGAAATACAGTTAGGTAGAGCAATTTGCATTGATACATTACTTTCATTTTACTTTTGTTGCTTTCCTTCCAATCCAAGAAAACATGCTTATCGCAAAATAGGAATCAATCAAAATCAAACTGGCAAAAATTAAAAAACACATATAATAGTTTTACATTAATAGAAGAGTAATTAGGTTCAGACAACCTTACTTGCCTCTTATGCTAACATTTTTCGTGTGTGGTTGTCTCACGTGATTCCTAGCGTCTTCAAGTTCAGAACAGCATCACCTGTAGGTATAGAACACGAAATAATAAAACAATCAAATGTATTTCATTTAAATACAAACATACCTTTACATTTTTGCCGTATCTTATGCGAACATTTTTTGTGTGGTTTTCTTTCTCACGTGATCCCTAGCTTCTTCAATGCAATCAAATAAACCAGGCTCAACGAAAAACACCAAAACCACCTAAACCCAAAACTGCAAAAACGCCGAGCATAACAAAAGAGTATGGTTTTTTCTATCTTAAAGTAGGAACATACTTAATCAAACACAAATCGGTTCTTTTCAGAACCACAATTTTTTTCAAAATAAATAACTAGTATAAAAAGAAACAATGCAAATAATTCGAAAGCACGTACTATTTTTGAATTTAAGTCTAAACATAAATAAAATGGTATTTTATGTATCTAAGGCAAGAAATAAGCTGTAATATAGCGAGTACACATAAATATATAGCGAGCGAGGTATTTAATAGGCTTCTGTACCGAAGTAGTTAAACTCAGAGACCGGAAAAACTAAAATAATATAAATCTAAAACATTTTTCATTATTTACCTAAGTATTTTTCTATCATTAGTATTGACCTAGACAGAGAAATGTGAATTATCAATAAGGAAAAGCATTTACTCATTAAATCGTTTACTTGTACACGCAAAATTTATTTTTGACAAATTTTATTAGTCTGGTTCAATAAACACCATATTTTCAGTATTTCATAAGGGTCTCAACGTTTTAGTAGTAAAACGATTTACTTTTACATGCCCTTACTTTTCTGCTGCGTACACGCAAAATTTATATTCAACCAATTTGGAATAAACCGTGGATATACATACATTCATGTATATTACCGGAATATTTGTTTTGAACATACTAGGTATATTCACCTGCACATAAACACATTATGTACATATCTGGCATGTTCGTCTGCACATATACACAATTTGTACATATATGTAGATACCTAGGATATACCTATGTATATTCCACGAACATTCAAGTTAGGAATGTTCACCCATGTATATTTCCAGGGTATTCCCGCAATGTTCTGTATATTTTTTGAACATTCTGGGATGTTCATAGAATATCAAATGCTATCTGGGTACTAATGGTAATAATGTTTGAAAATAAGTACAAAAGCACATAATCGGTTTGAACAGTTTGCAGATGATCATGCTCAAAAAAGTGACTCGAGTAACTTCCACAGCAAACAAGAGAAAGCTTTCGGCATTTGCTCAAGAAATACCGTTGTTAAATTGGACTTTATTTTCCTGTTCGACTCTTGAAGTTTTTGAAAAACCAAGAACAAGCAAATTACGTTAAAAAAATAAAGAATAAAATAGAGAAGGTTAAAGAGAACTTAAAAAAATCCTAAAAATATATACTTACCATTAATCAAACAGAACAAGGTCCGGTCTTATGGTAATTAAAGAAAAATAATTATTAACTGAAAATATTGAAAAAACCTGACACCATATGACAAGAAACACGTCATAAATAATCTGTAAATCGAATGGTTGCAAATTTTCTCAATGTTGGTACAAGTGGCAGATTTTTGGCGGTTTTTTGATATCCGAAAAGCAGGCGTTAAAACAACATCGCACGCGGTAACTAACGTAAACGTTTACCATAGTTTTGGTATTTGTTTCATAAAAATTAGATAAAATAAGATCAAAATGCGAGAAATAGTGCACATACAAGCTGGACAATGCGGTAACCAAATTGGCGCAAAAGTAAGTAGATAAATTCAAATGTGCGATCATATTCTGAACAGTTTGATTTGTATCATAAAGATTATAATTTTATTGGCACTAGTAAATGAGTGATTATTTGAAAGGACAATTAGAGTAATTTTTCTTTCGTTAACTTTTAAATAATAAAAAATTCAATAATAATATTATATTTTTTTAAATAAATTGACAAATGAGTGGTGAAATTGAATTTATTTCAGTTCTGGGAAGTTATTTCCGATGAGCACGGCATTGATCCCACTGGAACCTATCACGGGGATTCGGACTTACAGCTAGAAAGAATAAACGTTTATTATAATGAAGCTACCGGTGGGAAGTATGTGCCCCGAGCCGTGCTCGTTGATCTCGAGCCTGGCACCATGGACTCCGTCCGTTCTGGTCCATTCGGACAAATTTTCCGGCCAGACAACTTTGTCTTTGGACAAAGCGGAGCAGGAAATAACTGGGCCAAAGGCCACTACACAGAAGGCGCCGAACTAGTCGATTCAGTATTAGATGTGGTTAGGAAAGAAGCTGAAGGATGTGATTGCATGCAGGGCTTCCAGCTAACGCACTCGCTAGGCGGTGGGACTGGATCGGGATTAGGTACTCTGCTAATTTCGAAAATCCGTGAAGAATATCCGGATAGGATTATGAACACGTTCTCGGTAGTACCGTCCCCGAAAGTATCAGATACTGTGGTCGAGCCCTACAACGCAACACTGTCCGTTCACCAACTGGTGGAAAACACCGACGAAACCTACTGTATCGATAATGAGGCTTTGTATGATATTTGCTTTAGAACCCTGAAACTAACCACTCCAACGTACGGCGACTTGAACCATTTAGTTTCGGCCACAATGTCCGGCGTAACCACTTGTCTAAGATTTCCCGGTCAACTCAACTCAGACCTACGAAAACTTGCTGTAAACATGGTTCCATTTCCTCGCCTGCACTTCTTTATGCCTGGCTTTGCACCTTTAACATCCAGAGGTAGTCAACAGTATCGCGCCCTCACAGTTCCCGAACTGGTTCTTCAGATGTTCGACGCCAAAAACATGATGGCAGCTTGCGATCCCCGTCACGGACGATATTTAACCGTTGCTGCCATATTTAGAGGGCGAATGTCCATGAAAGAAGTCGATGAACAAATGCTGAACATCCAGAACAAGAACAGCAGCTATTTCGTAGAATGGATCCCCAATAATGTGAAAACTGCTGTGTGTGATATCCCTCCAAGAGGCCTCAAGATGTCCTCAACTTTCATCGGTAACTCCACTTGTATTCAAGAACTTTTCAAGAGGATCTCAGAGCAGTTCACAGCCATGTTTAGGAGGAAGGCATTTTTGCACTGGTACACAGGCGAGGGAATGGACGAAATGGAATTTACTGAAGCCGAAAGCAACATGAATGACTTAGTTTCTGAATATCAGCAATACCAAGACGCGACTGCTGAGGAGGAAGGCGAGTTCGATGAGGAAGAGGAGGCCGATGAGGGAGAAAATTAGAAGTAACACACTTCGCTTTTATACTTAAGACTCGCTGTTGATTAAATCTTCAAGTATACGTTTGTATTCTGCCTGACATATTTAAACATTGCAACATGTCAAGCACCTGCCCAAGTTTTCGATGTATTAAATACTTTACTGTATTAATGTGATGTGTCTCATTTTTTGAGTGCATGTTTATTGTGGGGTTACCTCAAAATTAACATGTAACTCCTTCAAAGTGTTTCCTTCCTGAACTAATTAAAAATTACGCTATTTAGTATTGGAAAAAAGTTGCTGTTACACATTCGCTTCTAGTAACTATCAACATTCAACCACGGTTAGCAGATTAAAAACAATATAAAAAAGCATTTCGTAATATTTCTTTAATTCTATACCCCCTCGAGGCATTCTTCTACAGAAGGGGCTAATTTCGTAACGCTTCGGCGTACAGGACATGAATATCACACTTGCTTTAAAATAATTGATGATCTGCGACTTATCAGAGGCTGTCTCCTTAAGGTGTCGATTGCTGAACGTTAATTAAAATGGTGTGTCTTGTTGCCTTATGAAAATAGGTGTGGCTGATGGATCGGCTCAATCGAGACTCTAAAAGAGCAGCCTTACTATAACTACTTGATCATGAATAACTCACAGGTTATTAACTAATAACATTTAGCTCGTAGCATAACTAACAACGATATATTAAAAACAACACTTTAGAAATTTTTAAATTGCTCATTACATAGTACCTAATTAAATATATTCGACAATGAATAGGCTATTTAAAGTCTCTAGTTAGGGGAAAATAAAGCAATCATAATATTCGTTCCACAACTGAAACGTTAAAGTTAGTTTCTCATCAGTAACAGTAATAGGTAATCAGTCATAGTGGCATGTAGTAATTCTAAAATCTTACCATTTTTCCATACAAGCTGAAGACGACGACTTGCCGTAATAAGGAAACATTATTTGGAACTACGATTTCTAAGAGAACTAATCGCCTAGTTAAGGTTGTTGATTACTTGTACTTGGCTTATATCTATGCAGTTTCAACGAAACTTTACCCATCGCAGTCTTTAATATGGCCCCTGCTTCTCCGCTCGTCACATTCTCCACATTTTGCCCATTGACGGCTATTAAAATGTCGCCTTTTGCTATTCTACCATCTAGTTCTGCTGGCGTTCCGGGTACCTGCGCAAACAGTTAGTTTTTACTAACTTTACTAACTAACTAAATTATTGCGTTTTTGATAAATCCCGAAACAGGGTTTCTCAAAGTAAAGTTTTCTGCAAACTGGCGCAATTACTTACAATATCAGCAATGTAGACACCTTTCCCCGATTTCTTTCCATTAATACTTAATCCGAGTCCTTTTCCAGGTTTCTTAACTAACTCCACTTCCATCGGAGAATATTCTACATTGGTTGGTCGAAATACAATGATTTTCATCTGGAACATCAGGAAATTTTACTTTATTATCGACAGTGTCTTGAATAGTCAATTAAAACTTGAAACATCTTAAAACGTACTACCTTTGGCAGTGTTTGTCTCAAAGCTTGAGATGCAGTTGTGTTTGTACTTTCCCTAAGAGAAGTTCCATTGACTTCAACAATTTGGTCGCCCTCTTGCAGCCGGCCATCCTTATCTGCGGCCCCGCCTTGATAAATTTCCGTCAGAATAATGGCATTCTATAATGTGATAAAACAAGTTTAGATCATTAAAATATTGCGAGCAGAATAAAACCTGAAGTTGGTATGTTCGGATAGCGGGTTTTGGGAGTGAACTTGAAACCCCCTCTTATTCTCTAAGACAGGTTCTTGAAAAATTCTAGCAGAGAAACGTTTGAAAAATGTACAGGGTGATCCTTTCCTAAGACACACTTTTAGAGAAAATCGACATATTTTTCCCAGAAATATACCAATATTTTTCCCCATCTAGGTATTTAAAAAAAATTCTCTACCTATTTTGGCTTAATTGGATAGTTTTTTGATAATAATTGGATAATATATTTGGCTTCATTGGAATACTAAGAAGCCTTTAAATTGGAAAAAAATGACGTGTCCAATAAATCACACAAACAGGATTTAAATAAAGTCTTTCATTGAACAAGAATTGACAATCATGGAACCCATAACTAAATGTGGAATGTAATTTAATTTGCAAATATAATTGGAAAAAATTATGCAATAAAACAAAAAAAGAATAAGTGAGAGAAATAGAACTCCTTCAGCAAGTGTAGATCACTACTTACTTTTCAAATTATTTTTAATCCGGACTTATTCTTTTTTTTATTACATAATTTTTTCCAATGATATTTGCAAATTAAATTACATTTCACAATTAGATATGGGTTTTATAATTGTCACTTTTTTTAATGAAATACTTGATTTAAAACCTGTTTGTGTGATTTATTAGACTCGTCATTTTTTTCCAATTTGAAGGCTTATTAGCATTCCAATTAAGCCAAAATTATTATGCAATTATTACAAAAAAATATCCACTTAAGCCAAAATAGGTAGACAATTTTTTTAGAAATAAAAATTAATTGAAATTCTACGGGCTACCTAGGTGTGAAAAAATATTGGTATGTCTCTGGGAAGAAGTTTTCGATGACGTTATTAACGGCATTTTTTAATTTATTAAATTTTTTTGTTTTCGCTGAAACTCTACCTTAGAGCGTCACATTTGAGACCCTAGATTTGGAATTTAATTATCAGTTTTCGTTTTGGCACAGTAGACCTTGGGCGTCAAGTGTGAATCACCCTGTACACAAAAACTGAATAATCTTGACTAGACCACTCTTAATCTCCTAGACGGTAAATGACACATTTTTTACCCTTTGGACTTTGCCAAGGGACCTACAGTTCCTCCCAATTGTTTGAAACTTTGAACACTTACATTTATAACGGTGTCTTTTCCCCCAATGAACGAAATACCAAGGGCCTCATCGTTGGTATTTATTTCAATCACAGTATCTCTCCCTGGGACTATCGAACAGGATAAGGGATCCGCTGGAGGTTCTAAATAGAGAATTATTTCGCTTTAATTTACAATAGAATAATCGATTTTCAACGTTTTACTTGTACCTTACGCATATTTGCCAAATCATAATCAAGAGTAAGTCCTAACTTACCAGGTACAGGTGTAGTAGGCCTAGAAGGCGTTGTAGGAGTTTTCAAAGTGGCCTTTCCCACGTCTTCAGCATTTGGTTGCGATGGAGGCGTGGGGGTGACGGCTCGAGCTTGGTCTTTTTTGCCAGGCTTTGAGACGACTAATGTCACGAGCCCTTCGGTTCTTTTAAGCAAGTTTGCAGCCTGGAAACAAACAGGAAATTTAAACATTTTCTTTGCAAATGCGCTTTGAATAGAAAAGGAGGAAAACAGCCACTATTCGGGAAAAATACACGCTCGTCCAGTTACAGTACCATTAGGACACATCTTGGTTGGTCGACACGCAATCGAAATGCTACAAAATCCAACAGGTTAAGCTCCCGCACGTCTACAGCTTCCCGAGAGCAACAAATTTGATCGTTGCGCGCATTCATTTAATTATTCTGCTTATCTCTTTATCTCTAGATTTCGTTTAACACTAATAAATTAATGATGAAGGGGGTTCGCTTATTGGTTTACACATTAAAGCGGGGCGATTCGTGAAATCATCTATTCACTGACTCTCAATGAGTAAAGAGAAGTTTACAGGGCCTCATTAGGCATTTAAGCGGTGTAACCCGCTTAATTAATCAGCATAAGAAAAAGGCCAAAAAGCTAAAAATCGATAATGTTTCTCGTTATTTTTCTGTTTGGAAAGTCATCAAGTTTTCATCTAGTTTGGGATAGCTAGTTGTTATTGCAACTTTTCCTGAATTTTTATGCGACTTTTTACTGTTAGAGAATTTCTTGAATGCTATTAAACATATGGGTATAACACAAATAACAATTTAGATAAATATATTAAGGGGAATTTATCGGAAGAAAAATAGATATGAAGACACTACTCTCAAAAACTCATACAGTGTTCAAAAGGAATATTGTTAGCTGGCTTTACAATATTTGCAAAAGTAACAAAACTTACCGTATCATAGCTGGAGCCCACTAGAGAGTCTTTATTGACCGCCAGGATCATTTCTCCAATTTCAAGGCCAGCCTTCAAAACAAAGAACACATTGAGGCAAACAAAAATAAAACCATTACAAAACAACTACAACTAGAACTAAAGCTACTATGCTACTGGCATGCCATGTACCTCTGTCCAACAAGAGACGTTTTGCTACTGTGCATTTGTACTTGATAAAACCGGGTTTCCCATCAAACATGCAAGAAGAATCAACAAATAAACTTTTAAAAATAATTTGGTTGCTACAATATGGTGCACATAACTAAATTATAAATTTCCCAGCTAATAAGATAAGGCGGAAACTCGTAACGTTCAAGCGGGGTGCTTTAATGATCCAGCTCATATGGATGGTTTAAATTGGATTTTGAATGGATGATTGTCGGCTTTGCACTAAAATATCGCATACCTCTTCTGCAGCGCTGCCTCGTTGAATATCTGATATGAATATGCCTTGTCCAACTTCGGCATGTTTGCCTTCTATTATCATAATACCCAAACTCGGACTTGTCTGCTCCACAAATAATACAATAATTAACCAAAAAGAAAAAATTACTGCTAAATAATAAACACAATTAGAATTTGCGTTAAATTCTATGTTAAAACATCTGCAAGTTTGAATAACAACGCTTGCCAACTTTTAAATATTATGTAAAAACAAAACTGTTCATTACAAGTAAAATAACTAAAATCCGTACTTAGACAATGTACGAATTTGCAAACACCCACCTTTTTAATAGCCAATGTTCGGACATTTGGATAGGTGGCACTGAAATGTTCTTCTGATATCTGAAAAAAATGATAGAAACACCATTATAACTCAACTTAATTGAGTAAGCATTGAAATGACAGAAATAAATTCGACTTTGAATGCATCATTATCAAGTAACTATAGACATAATTTGGTTCAAGCGAAGGTTTTTGTCGGCAATTCATCAGGTATTGCCATAAGAACTATGACATCAGTTATATAATTCGCCAAATTATAATGTTCTGACTTGAAATAAATGGGTTTTATTGTTTAAACTTTTAAGGCTGATCCAGATAAAAGATAATTTACTGTAAATTTATGCAATTTTGCATCTGGGGATATAAAGTCGAGTTTTAGTAGTTAGCGAGCTTGGGGGAGACGGGACTTGCATAAAAATCAAATATAATGCATTAAATCCAAAAGTCTTAATAGAAAATTTGATATGGTAGTTAATGGGTTCTACATCCGATATGATTTATTTATTGAAAGTATTTCCATAATAAAAATTATAAAAAGATGAACTTGCCTTCAATTGTGCCTGTCTCGTTCGTTTCGACAGTAGAAATATCTCCAGTATTCTTTTAACCCGAACAATGTAATATAATTTTGACATCATTTCTTATATTGGACCATTAATAACTTTTTAAGCAACCTTAAAAACAAATACACATTTAAACAAGCAAAGGTGGCCTGCATGGCCATTGGCAGGGACTTAGGAGAGCATTCGAAACATTTTGCCAGCGGAAAATTGATTAGTTTTTCACACATTATTGCTTGTCTAGTGCATTCAGCTAAACCATCACTCAGACACTTAAATCATCGCCAAATCATATTGCCAGACGTCTAACACTATGTGATACACAAGAGCGAATATTGGGGTGTTCACATGGAACCTCACGAAAGTGGAAGGTAGAACTAATAAAGCCAACGTAAAACGTGTACTATTTAAATTACTTAACAGGTACGCAATTTAAAACTATACTGTAAGCAATTTTGAAACACATACGACAAGCCAATAAAATACTTTCAGAACATAATTAACAGTTGATTGTAAACATGGAAAAGCTCACATGAGAAAACCACACTAGCACCAATATAATAAACAAGTTGAGGATTTCCCGCGAGAAATTTCAAAAATTCGTACCGACGAAAAGTTTAACAGAAGTAGTTTGCACTACTCGCTCGTCGACCTTCATTACATTATTTGTAATTATCCAATCTAGGTAGATAAGGAAACGAGACTACAGGATGAACACGTTCGATTCGACCCGGCGGACTCTTAAAAGAAAGGACCCAATAACAATATTCTATCTATTATTGGTTATTAGTACCATATGAATAAGTGATTCAACTTCGTACTTATTCCCCTACTACTTCACAATTTACCTAAACTGGTAGAAGCCGAGTGGAAGGGTATAATTAACAATCGATAAGCAGAATTTCCGTCACTAAAAGGTCATCAAATCACCATTTATTTACTACTATTACACGACGCTTCAATTTGTTGTCAATGCTAGAGGGTTTTGTCTCGCTGGCATGGTGCTTAAAATTTCCATAACACCACACTAAGTCATCCATAAGTTCCTTATCTCAATCATTAAATATAATTAATACAAATGAGTTTCTTTTGTCTGTTCCAAAAGTGAACTGATATATTCGCCAGTTCCTTATGTTATGGCAAATTACTTAAATAATCGCATTTGCACTGTGCATTTGCGGTTTTAATCTGCCGATTTCCTTTATTTTCGATAAGTTCTTCACGAATGGCTTTAAATAAATCAAAGTGATTCAAAATTTTTCTACGTTTCTTGATCTCGCCACTCGTTTGCCTGTCGCAAGCCGGCATCAATATAACGTTCAATATTTTCTTTTCCCAAACATCCCATCATAGCAAAATATTAATAATTTCATTCATTCATATCCTCCTTCCCGATTTAGTTTTATCAACCGGATATAGCAAGCCTGCCGAAAGGAAAAATCCGAGCAATGGATCCGGAAAGCTTATATATTTTTGTCAGTTTTGCTGTGTTAAAAGCCCGAAGATTTAAATTGGCCTGCTTGGTTATTCTAATCCGGCTTGAGCGATTTAGGAACGTAACAAGCCGTTAATTCTGTTTATATTATTGAATGCTGTGTAAATAAATTGAGGGTGTGATTAAAATTGTGTTGTTTGCGCGGATGCACATTGAAAAAAAATACCGTGCATGTGTTCTTGAACCTATTGAAACATACCAGGCGGCAATATAAATGTGAAATACTATAAATAAATAGCAATAGTTACTATGTGGTCTCGAACAAACGTGTTTTAAAAAAAACGACTTTATTGAAGCGAGTACAGGATGAGAATGACTATAATCTTGGGCTTGCATGTTAAGGAAAACAATCTTAAACAATAGACACTAAGATGCTGAATTGCGTCTGGCTGAAATGCAGTCTTAGTGATAAGGCGATTGTAACTCAATATAGCCAACAAAAAAATTGAAACTCTACTGGCCGAAAAGAACTAATTTCCTGGCTTTTCGTCAGCACGAACGGCATCCTTAGAGGCGTTTTGCTCGAAATCTTACTCTGGAAATTTTCTTCCTGACGTTTCGCAAGCACAAGTGATTTGCATCTTCAGAGGTGGTGGCTATGAACAGCGTAAGATTTCGAGCAAAATAACCCTGAGGATGTAAGTCACTCGTGCTTACAAACGTCAGGAAAAAAAATCTAATCGACACATTTGCTAGTTACATGTATTGTTGGAGATGTAAAATTTGGCAAACAGTTACAACCGCTTGAGTTTGACTTAATGCACTATAAAGGAAACCTTCATGGTAATTTGTCGTTCTTTATAGACACGGGATTGTATTTTAATATGATGTGTATGTGTGTTTTACATTTTACAGTATGTTCAACAAATTAGCATTATCACGGGTATTCCGTGTTTTATCGAGTGTGTTTATTCGAATGCTTAGAAGTATAAATAGGGTTTTAATGAAACAAAGATATGTTGTAAAAGGTGTTTATTAACTTTTTTAGCAAGAAGTGGATACCGCGTGATTTGCCGTAGATAAACTGGTACTAGATTTGAGTGTTAGAGATGTGAGATAAAGTTGAATAAGAGTGTTGATATTCTGCAATTGAGAGTTTATTCCCATTTTTTTTAAGCTTGAAAGTTAGTAACAGAATAAACTGAAACACACGCGATTTTTAGCAGCAACTTTACGTAAAAAACCAAACAAAATCACTAGTTCTAATGCAGAAGCAAGCAGAGCAGCTGAACATTTCAATCGGACCAAAACATGCAATGTATTACTTTAAAAGCAAGAAAAAGCGTTCAATCCGAAAGTAAGAAAAATGTGCGATTTTCGAAATAATTGGATCAAAAGTGTTTCATGAAAAATACAGTAATTAATATTTTTCTATAATTCTGTGAAAGAAAATTGTGGAGGTATGCCAAAAGCTCGTATTGTGACGATTATACGCAGAACATTTGACTTAGTTTGGAAGAAAACTTCCATCAGACAAGCAACGAGCAAGGAAAACTTTATTTGGAACATTTCCCGCCAGCCGTTTGAGATCCAAAAAGTTTTATACAAATTAAAATTACCGCTGCAAAAGCTCTAAGAACATTATTTCCGTGGGTGCTTCGAAGTTTGTGAAGCGAAATGAAGCTTTGCTCATCTTACGTAAAATTGCAACATATCACACAAAAGAACCATTAAGAACGAATAAATAATATAAAAATAGACGAATTAATAAATAACTTAACATTTTCAAGCAGGGAATGAGAAACAAATTCTACTAGACATAATTATCGAAAATGAAGCTTGGATTCGTACTGCGTTGAACTAGGTGAGGAGCTTTAGCAAGCAAGAAGTTGAGAGTCAATTTTAAACATTTTCATATTTTCAACGTCAATACAAAACTCGGAAAAATAAAAGAATACAGAAGTATACCAATTCAATGGCAAAAGAACCAATGTCTTTATTTCGGTGTAAAAATTAATCACAAGGTATTTAGTTTGCAAGCGATTTAAAAACAGAGGAAACTATGAATGCAGCGAAAAAAACACGAAAATCTGAAAGCAATGAAAAACTGTTCTGAAAAAACAGTAAGAAATTTCGAGCGCACTTCAAACAAGGATCACTTTAAAGCGGCGTCTCTGGATTTTCTTTCTCAATTTTCGGAAAAATTAAATTGAAAACATTTTTACCGAATTCCTACTTTCGCTACATTGAACAAATTCAGGATAAACCATTTCCTATTCTTCTTTTAATATACTCATAATGATAACGACAGTCATAAGAAGTTTTAATTATATAAAAATATATATTTTATATAAGTTTTCAATCACAAAATGAACCAATCACCAACCATTCAAAAGCGAAAACGAATGTTTTATTAATTTTCATTTTATAAATATATTACTCATACACACAGCTGTGTATTTGGGAAAACAGTTGAACCTTTATGGTTCAACTGTTGAAATTCGATCTTCAACTGTTAATATCTTCTAGAAATTTTCGAAAAAAAAATTTCAATATTTTTCTGGTACTTCCCAAGGTAGTCTCCTTATCCCCCCTTAAAAGGAATGACGCCAATTTTGAATCACCCTGTATAAGGAGCAAACTTCACATATGGAGTCGGTATCTTAAAATATCCATAAAACCTGAGAATTTTGGTTTTAAAGTACACATTGCTAAAGCAGAGTGCCAGGATTTTGCCAAACGGAAAAGGAAAAATAAACCAGCCAAATTAACTTCCTAAAGCAAATAAGTCCAAAGAATAAGACTTAAAAGTAAATAGAAAACTTTATGGAATTGGCCCGAAGATCCCTCAACCGTCGTATGGACATGGATTGATATTTGTGGCAAAATAATGAGTATAAGTCGAAGAAAAATCCTCTAATCCTCTAAAGGAAGACATAAAAATCAGATTTCTCCGAAAATTTTGAAATTCAACTACCAACATCGTGGCGTGTAGCAACAAATTGACAAAAAACAACTTACCTCTTCTGCAAGTGAAACTGGAAACTGAGTGATTGGTTTAACGGCAATATCATCGACGGCAGCTTTTCGCCTAAAAAACAAAAACTAAAATAGAACAGGAAATCAAAGAAAAAAGCTGAAAACTAGTACCGAAATGCAAACAATTGGCGACGACAAACAAGGGTGAGCATTGATTAACCCACAGAAGCAACTAACATCATTACGAATAATACCAGGTAATTGTTATCAATTATATTAACTGGATGGGGAAAAAACCTGCCGCACAAAACCAACGACACACTAGAGTAACACGACTACTCGTTCTCAAAAAAAGAAATGTATATTATGTTAAAATATTTGAACTTTGACTGTGCTGAGGTTCCCGGATCTTTCACAGACCTCTAATTGCAATGAAAAATCGCGCAAAATTCAGTCAAATAAACGCGACACTTGAGCGCAAACCCTCCAAATTGAAATTCAAATATAAAGGAAAATACTACAGAAAACAGCGTTTTAAAAAAACATGCATCAAAGTCGGAAATAAAACATAAAAAGTAAACAAACCCATCTGGTTAATCAAATGACCGATGACAATTTTCAGCGTTGCCAGTTCAATCATAGAAGAAGAAGAAATAAATTGATAGAGAAAGAAGATACATAATTAAGAATTTACAAAGAAATTGAAAATATTTTTTATTAAGGTTGGAAGGGATTAACAAAAAACAGAAAAAATATTTTAATAACCGGTGAAAACAATTTGAAAATGGTTTTAGACTCCTGTAAGAGCAAATTTCTATCTATTCTAGTAGGCGTTTGATTAATATGCGTTCATTTTTCTATTCATTATTATTTCATGTTTTCATTCTTCTGCATATTGCTTACTTATACTTGAAGTTTTTCGACTAGTTGTTATTGCCTACTAGACTTTTTTGGTGGTTTATTTGTTTTTGTGTAAAGGATTTTCAGTTGAGTACTTTTATATAAAAGTTGTATATTAAGTATAAAAAGATTTGAGATTTTGCAAAAAGCGAATATTTTTCGAAGGGCGTGCTGTAAATCCACCGATTGTTAAATTCAATTAAAAAATCGCCCACTTATTTGAGGAACACCTTGTATAAATATGGAGATTTTCGTAATTTTCTTGCTAAGTAAGTCTGGGCACGTTTTCATAAAATCTCCACGGGTTTTAATTATCTGGTGTTTACTGCATTAGAGATTATCTCCGGATTATCTTAGGATCATTTCAGACTGATTAAAGTTATGTTGTGGCGCAATCATTGTTTGTAGCGATTGCTTGAAAATGAGTGATTTCTGAGGTTTCTGCTTTCATATATGGCAGCTTTGGAAAAACAATAAGAAAAGCAAACACAGCATTAAAATGACGAGATCAGTTTACGGTCTAATTTATAAAAGTCTTGAAATTAAAAAGTGAATTTTTGCTTGAGAACAATTAAGGCCCTAAAATGTATTCATATTCAAGACTTCTAACGTTTAGTATTCTTACTAAAGTATGATTACTTGGTTTTTTACAATCTGGTCTAGTGAGTATGAATAGTGCTACAAATTTGCGAATTTTCGAATTTCTTGACGTGCACAATTAATTCTGGGCTAATCAATTGATCAAAAGGGCGTATCTGGAAGAAGAATAATAAGAAACAATTACCAATCCAGGCAATGAAATAAGGACTGGAAAAATAACCAAAAACAAAAATTTCCAAACATTTAAAGGGTTGGGTTACAGCACCTCACCTTAGTAATTGGTCTCTCCTGAGGGTGACACATTTATTAAAAGAAAAATTAATTATTATTGCAGCTCGCCGCTCTATTAAAATTTTAAGGCCAAATTTAAGGTTTATGAGAATTTCAAAGAGTTTATAAAAGAAAAATAGACTTTAAATTGAAAATAAACTCAAGTTGGAGTTGGAAAAGTTTCATTTTATGCTTAATTAATGTTATTGGATGTTAATAGAAAAAGTAGAAAGTTAGAGGAGATCTTAATGAGATTATATAACGAAAAATTGGAGTGTAAAGCTTATTTAATTAAATAAAATTGGGTGAGAACAATATTAAAAAATAATTTTTAACAAAGATTTGGCAGAATGTGTAGCCGATAACGTATATTTTAATGTTGTTTTTTTTAAAATAAAATATTATTCTTTTTCTAACAATTTTCTTGTTATTGAAAAGTCGGAATTGCTTTCACAAAATTAGTTCTTGAAAATAAATATTAAAAATAAGTAGAAAGCTTCAGAATAAAGTCAAATAAAACCAGGAACCAAGAATTCTTAACGAGTTCACTTACATCCAACCTTCCAGGAAATTTTACATCAACTCCTGGGAATAGCAGTGTTAAAACCTGACGGAACTTGGTACTGGATTAAGGGGTTGCATTTCAGAATTCATCTAAATACTTTTCTTTTTCTAATGAGTTCAGTAGTTTTTTGAAAGGCGCGTTGGCAAGCGAAACTAACTTATTATTTTTGCTTACTTCACAAGTGAATATCAGATGTAGAAGTGGACTACTATCAGGATTTATCGACTAATCCTGATAATTAAATTCTAATAAATTTGATAGGAAAATATTGATCTTTACGTGGCGTCCTAATCAAGTTTAGTTCTAGCAGTTGAAGCTGGAATATTTACAGAATTTCGATCAAATACGCACCATGTTATTAATAGATAAAACCAGCAAGGCAATATAAAGTCTACTAGCGAAAAATTGGTACGTTACCTTAAAATAATGACTTTAAAAACAGGTCCTGTTAGACCTTTAATAATCGCAGAAGCGTTCAGATGACATCGACCGTGTAGCACAACACCATTGACCTAGAAATCAAGAATAAATGATACTAACCTTTCTTTGACACAACTGAGAAGAAAATTCATAAATTTCAAGTCATATTTTGCACACTTCGAGCGAACATCTCAGGTGAAAAAGCCAACCAACTAAAGGTGTCCCGTTCGCGCGATACTGTTTCGAAACATTATAAATCGCTTCGTCGCATACGGAAATAATAAGTAAATAAAAACATTCAATTATCAGCTGCGCGACTTGGAGTTTGAGTAACAATTATAAAATTACAACCTAATCAGTCGGATTTCACTTTTAAAAGCTGTGGATTTGGAGTTGCGGAATCAGTTTTCGCCCGTACCTTTTAGACTGGCTTTTGCGGTGCCTAAAAATAGTGTCGATTCTTTAGTTTGGTTTATCTTCCCACGCTCAATCGCTAATTTATCTTGGGAAACTCTTAAATATTTCAGAAATTTTTATTTATGCTCTTATAAACAATGATGAGCGAAAAGAGCTAATTTTGCTTTAAATCTCTCCACCTATCACTTTAATATTGGGTGCAGAAAAGCAAAATGTTTAGTAAACTTGTGGTTTAAATAAGAATATTGTCTGAGTTAATTGTGAACAATTTCCAAAATTTTCTGGTTATTAAAGCAGCTGCAATCCAGGGCGAGTCTAACTTCGAATAAATTCTGTAAATCAGACAGATAATTTTATACAKAGTGTTTCAAATTCGAGGTATGGTGACATCTACTGCTGAATATTTCGGAATTCCTGATCGATCTAATGAATAATCTCTAATGTAGCCACTAGACAAATTTTTCCCATTGCAATAGCTTTCCTTACTTACTTCCAAAATTTCGTCGCCGATCTCTACAGATCCTGTTTTGAAAGCGGCTCCATTCGGGTTCAATCCGCAGACAAAAACAGCCATACAGCTTCGATCTCGGTGTCCAGCCAGACTTAGACCCAATCCTCCTGAATCGCGCTCCAATTGCACCATGAGAATGGTATGACCCAGATTTCCGTACTTTTTTTTCACTTTATCTGCAAAGAAAATACCCAGTTTATTGGAAGTATATTTTCAGTTTCACCTAATAGACGTTTTGAGCAAAACACAGAATATGGTCCTAAAGAGGTGAAAGGTTAACGAAAACTTACGGCATGTCAATATTTAAACAGTTCAAATACACCTTAAGGATTTATTGAATCAAATAATAAGTCATCCAGTTCAACCTTTTTTGAAAAGCGTTTTTTGGAACTTTACTCGCATCCTGAATATCTGAAGCCCAAAAATGTTTCTCTGAATATTGTTTGCGACAGCTTCAAAAGACCAATTTATTCAAAGGCTGTTATTGTTGCCTAAAATAAAAGTGCTATTCCTATTCTATAAAACTGCCATTTTTCATAGCGCATATGCCCAATGCAATATTAAACAGAAATTGCCCATTCAGACGAGCGCAAATTGCCATTGTTGGCTGTTATGTAAAATTAATTAAATTAATATTTTATGGATTGTGGAAAATAAATTTCAATTGCGTTGCTTACATTGATAATTCAAATATACCCACTCCCAGCCCTCGCTGCACCAGCACTAAGACTTTTTAAACTCTATTAACTTTGAAATAAATGTTAGCTTCAAAGCACTTTTGCATTTTCACATTTTGCAAAAAAATCCCCCAAAAAATAATACCGATGGTTTCCGATTTTACACGATGGTACTTCTTCTAGATGCCATGAAGTAACTTGTAAAGTCTCACTTTATCAACTCACCAAGTTCATATTCCGTCTCCTGGTCTTCTGCTATGGGTTCCATGATTCCATGGTCGCACAAGAAACATAATCGGTGGCACTACCGAGGTAACACATTGCTTTTAGGAGCGTGAGCACCCATCATCAGGTATATCGAATCGAAATTGTTCGCCAGTACTTGGCTTAGAAACGTTTTGAAATCGCCTTTGTGAATTTCAATGTTGTGCGAATAGCTCCAGCTGATCATTTTACGCATTATTATACTGTGGAAGTTTTTGCGACACGGTGTCCGAAGAAAATCTGCACGAAAATATTAAGTGCGTTTGATCCATAGAGACAACAAACGTTTTTTCGGGCCAACGTTTTTGGCCTGAAAACGATTTTGAAACGTTTGGTTTGTGTTAGCGTTATTTAGTTGATGCGACCTTATGTGTCAAGAGATTTAATAAAAGAAAAAAACCCATTTTCGAATCAAATGTGTTTGAGTTGGGGAAAAGCTTCTGAATTACGCTTTAATCTTTTGATAAGTCAATACTAAGCAATGCAAAAAAAGTGTCATTAAAAGCTAAATATGCATAGAAAAACAAAACGGTTTTCAGGCCAGATTCTCAAGGATTTTTAATTCGAATTTTTTTTTTAAATTATTAATTCCAGTGCTACTCGTATCGACTGACGCAAGCGACAACGCTGAAATTGTGTTTTTGCGGAACAAGAAGGTATCAGTTTAAGAAAATATTTCATTTATTTCTGCCACTTCAAACCAAATGTAGAAGGCCAAAATTCAATATTTAAAAATATATTTAAAACACCAAATACATGTAGGAGTAAACTCGCAACACCAGAACCTCATGACGGAATTGAAATTGCAAAAAATGTAATACCTATATTAAATTCCTTGTGAGTGTAATAAATGTTTTACTGGGAAAACTTCTACACCATTAAATAAACGAATAAAAGAACATCAATCATTTATTTAAAATAGTGAATTTCATGAATCATACATACGCCAACATGAATTTCATAATTTCCACAACATACAATGGGATGTTTTATCGGTTTTCGCAAAGAAACCATTAGCAAAATTAAATAAAAGACTTTTTAAACAATTCATTGCATGTAAATAGATCATTAGCTTCGTGTTCACTTGTTTGACTTGTAAATCTTGAGTGAACTTCAGACAAAGATAAAGACGACAAAATTTGATTTTTAAACAATGAATGCAATTCAACTTTATATTTTATTTCCTTTTAAAACTTTTTTACCTAAAAAAACAAACCTGATCATGATGACAAAAAATCTGATCTGCTGATTTGATTCTAAATAATTTCTAACAATCGAAATTTTTTACATATTGTCGATGACTGGAAAGGAAGACTGTTAGGTGTGTTCTCTCCTTATTCATCAGCCTGCTATATGAGATCCAATAATTGTTTCAAGCAACGAAAACTGACGAAAAATGTGAAATGTAGTTTCGAAGTGAACTTGGGCTGTTTTTGAGATACAATTCTAAATATAAGGAGACGATTTCGATGTTTTATCGATTTTGGCAAAGAAACCATTGGCAAAATTAAATAAAGGGGGTTTTCAGAAAATAATTGCATATAAATAGGTCAGATGCTTCTTGTTCACTTGGTTAATCTGGAATCTTGAGTAAACTCAATACACATTCATCAGATTCTATTTTCTTTTTATTTTTAAATATTTCTTCTGATGGGAAAAAACATATCTGAATTGCTGTGGAAAAGCTTATGATTTTTGTCCTATAATCCAACATATATCCAACAATTTAAAAAGTTTGTTAGAATCCAGATATTCCTGAAAATGAAGTTGTGTGTTTTTTTTTCAGCATCAGTCTGCTATACCTATAAGATTCAATAATTTCTGATGATTGAAATGAATTGAAATGAGGTTACGAATTGAACTAGGACTGTTTTGTGATAAATTGCGCGGTTTTGGGACAACATTCTAAATGTAATAAGATTGATAGATTGCATGCATTGATAGCATATATTTCCTTGCTTTGGAAACTCATTGGAAAAACTAAACTTGGAAATTCTCAATTCTCCTCTATTGATTGAAGTGAATTTATTGTCAAATATAGAAAATGTTTGTACCTAGAGTGCGAACAAAATATCTCTGTTGCTAACATGGCAGCTAAACGAAAGCATTTTTGCGACACATTCTTGAAAACTGTCCGCTGAGCGAACACAGTCTTCACGAGAAAGCACACTTGACCCATTTTCTGGTCCAGAAGGCACCATCCAGTTTTCCTTATGTTTTCTACACTTGAAGCCGCGTATTTGCTGCATCGGAGCATAAAAATGTAAAATTCTGCAAACAGAAGACCCACGTGTGCGGTTTGATTTATTCCTGACTTCCTAGAAAACATTTGTTTGAACAATAGAATAGACGTTTAAGAGTTTAGATGCAAATTTCTTGTGTTAACTAACTTTTTTATGCCTGCCTTCATTTCGGGGTGTAGCTTCGATGAAATTTTAAACCCTTTCCCGTCTTATTTGGCCGTTTTGCCCTACAAGGCTACAGAATGCCTACTAAATTATCCAAATGCCCCCAATGAGTGGCTTAATTGATGTTATACAGCAATTAAGTTAAATTAAATTTATTTCCCGCTAGCTAAAGTAAGAGGGAGCAGTCGCTAGTTTCAAATTTGGAATTATTTTTCATGAATGAGAAACTTGCAAACGAATCAGTGCAAAAGCCTTCTGAATTCTGACCTATTTTCGAAATGCTGTAGCTGAACACGGAGACTCCGAGCTGAAAGTTCCTTGTTTAAACTTTGCAGAAAATACAATCCTGATGCCTTTAGAGCGCATTATAGCATCGCAATGCTATTACGCTTTTATTAAATGCAAAGCATTCATTTAAAATTTACTTCGTCAAGACGTTTCTAGCCAATTTGCTTAACTAATTCCATAAGCCGATTAATTGTCAGATTTTCATTGTACGGTTTTCGAATTGAAAATCTTTTCATTAATTTATCTAAATACGGACGGGAAATTTTTTTAATTGTTCAATTACGCTTTGAAGACGATCCACGAATCTTTAGGGATAAATCCGAATTAGAGTGGCGCGATTTCCCTGAAATCGTGTTCATTTTGGACCAAATTTAATTTGCAAGTCATACTACTCGGTTGGGTATTTCAGCCACATTTTATGTTAGCAATACGCTAAAAGTTAATTTTAATTGTATATACTTTCCTGACTGTGTTTCAATCCCAAATCAAATTCATTTCTGGGTTTCAGTCATTTATTGTCTCCATTAACCAATCAAAATACGTTTCAGTGTATTTTGATTGATAAATAGAGACAATAAATGACTGAAACCCAGAAATAAATTTGATTTAGAGTTAATTTTAATGCATTTTCGGTTTATCATAAGCTTTCAGTTGATCACGAAAACGTATAATCTTTTTTAAAGAATGCACAGACACGAAATATCCACGAGTTAATAAAGCCAAGCAAAAAATGAAATAGATAATGGGTTTTCGGTGTATTTATTTACAGCGAAACCACATAATGTGAAAAACATCTCTGTGTTATATATAATATATCTAGGCTTTGAAAGACGCGTCGGTTTGAAAGCAGTGCATAAAAAAATGGTAAATGGCTACATTCCTGAAAAGAAAACCCGTTAATCATCCAAATAAAAAGCTTTACTTTATGGCAGATTTGAGTCGACCTATTTCAGGATAGTAAAAAAATAAACGGTTTCTCAATGAAATTGATGATGAACTACCTTTGCCAAAAACAACAGATAAAAACTGAATCTCATTCAATAGGAACACTTTGGTTTCACTCCGTGTAAAAACCGATAACAATGAAACATTGCAGAGGATAATTGCTGTCGCACCAGTATAATATGGTCGTTTAAGAGGGAGCGCATATAAATCACATGCATTCCTGCAATAGCCAGAAATTTATTCGAAAATTGAAATGACCGGATTCTGGGAGCATTGCTCGACCAATCCGCGTCACCCGGTAACCTATAACATTTGGAAAATGGGTCACAACCTTCTATCTGGCAAATTGCGCCATCAAACTGTTTATTATACGAAGAGGGTAAGAGGGAAATCTTACATTACAGTTCGAATTTCACTGTTCGGTTTACTTGGAAGTCGTATTTATTAAATCTCAAGGGCTGTTTTTAAGAAGCTGCCACTCTTGGAGCGGCACTAAAAGGGAATAAAAGAGGATACTGCGAACTCCGAGCTTTAAGCACCCGGAGTTTGTTGATGCAGATGATTCGTTTGATGGACATCTAGACTCTACTTACA